AAAGCAAAGCTATCATTTAGAATTGAAGGTCAGATAAAGAGCTTCACAGACAAGAAAAAGCTAAAGGAGTTCATCACCACAAAACCAATATTATATGAAATGCTGACAGGTATCCTTTAAGCAGAGGAAGAAGAAGAAAAAGGTACAGATACAAATTATGAACAACAAATACACATCTATCAACAAGTGAATCTAAAAATCAAGTGAATAAAGAATCTGATGAACAGAATGAACTGGTGAATATAATAGAATCAGGGGCATAGAAAGGGAGTGGAATGTTTATTCTTGGCGGGGAAAGGGGTAAGGGAGATGCGGGAAGAGACTGGACAACAATCGTGCACCTATGGATGAGGACAGTGGGTGGGGAGTGAGGGAGGAGAGTGGGGCAGGAACTGGGTGGAGGGGAGTTTGGGGGAAAAAAGAGGAACAACTGTAATAATCTGAACAATAAAGATTTAATTAATAAAAAAAGAAAAAAGAATTCATGCAAACACACACACGCACAACTCATGTAGAATAAAATAATTTGGTAATTGATACACAGTATAAAAGATGTAAATTATGACAACAATGGGGGAGTAAAAGGGTAGAATTTTTACATGTGATTGAAATTAAGTTGTTATGAGTTTAAAATAGATTGTGATAATTATAAGATAGTTAATGTACATCTCATGGCACACACAAAGACTAACCTCTAGCAGATACACAAACAAGAGAGAAAGGAATCATAGCATACCCCTATAGAAATTCATCAAATAACACACAGCAAGAGAGGAAGAATAAAAGAAGTATATAACAGCTACAAGAGCAATAGATAATTCCTTCCCTATCAATAATTACTTTGATTAAAAAGCATTACCTTCTCTAATCACAAGATAGAGTGGCTGAATGGATAAAAAATAAAAACAAAGCAAAATAAAACCCAAGATCTGACTATATGCTGCCTTCAAGAGACGCACTCTGGCTTTAAAAACACCCTTAGACTAAGGGAAAAGGATGGAAAAATATTCAATGCAAATGGAAACGAAAGAGAGCAGGATTAGCTATTATTATGTCAGATCTTCTGACCATCACTCCCAGGGCCTGGGGCAGGAGGAGGGAGAGTGGCACAGAAGGAAGGGAAGAGAAAAGGGGGACATGGAAACTGGAGGTGGGGTCCTCAGAAAGCAGCAGCAGGGTGGAGGGAGAGATCACTGGGTCTGGGTTCCAGCCCTGGCTGCTTCCAAGTGCTGTGTGAGCATGGATTTGGGTGCTGGGATGAAAAGAGAAAGAGGCAAGGGTGTAGCTGAGATTTCCAGCCCAGGTGACTCCATATGTGAAGGCTGAAATCAGAGAAGTCAGGAGAGGGGACTGGCTTGAGCTGAGGAATAGGCCTGCCCTCCACTTGGGGTTCACCTGGAAAACAGAGTCTTCTTTGGAACTTTCTGGACTACCCAGACCCCAGGGAAATTCAGAGTTATTATGACCCAAGCTGTGTCTGGGCAAGGACCATGTTAGCATGGCACCTGGTTGGGTAAGATTCACTGCCTGGCCTGCGTGGGTCTCAGTTTACCCATCTGTCAAATCAGAGGGGGTGTAACCTCAACACTGGAATGTTCCTGAAAGATCATTTCTAGGCCTACAGACCCACCCCCACCCTGGCTTCTCCATCCTTCTTATGGTGTTTTATTGGCCCAGGTCTTTATCCAGGTCTAGGCTCACCTGGCTGGGAATCCACTTGCTGCCCTGTAGCCCCACTTGGGTCCTTACGACAGCTCAGTAAGCCTCACATTTCCAGCTCTGTCCATATGTCAGGCAAGTGTCTCAAATATTCTCTATGTCTTGGAGGATCCAGGACTCAGGGTCAAAGAATTTCAGCAGCTTGGTGGAGTTTTGCTTGGATGGAATTGGGGAGTAGAGGAATGGGGGCAATTGCACTGTAGGAAGGAGGTTGATGCTTGCTAGTAGGATGGGCAGGAGCTAGGGCATTGAATCTGGGGGTCTTCAATGGAGAACTGTGCTGGCATGAACAGAGCAAGGACGATAGGCTAGGTACAGAAGGTCACCAGGGTGGCCCAGCAATGGGAAATACTTGGAAAACAAGGACCTCACCCCCAGGGTAATCTTCTTTCCCCTAGCATATCACTCATCATGGGGTGTGGACCCCCTGACCTTTCATATCACTGGCCATGCTGTTCAGACCCCCTGATCTTTCCTCCCAAGAAATAACATCTGGGCATCAGTTGCATTTCAGCTCCAGGCCCAGAAAGGCAGCAAAACCATCTACATTGACTAATGACCCTTTGCCCTGGCACCAACCAATCTGTGGAGACCACAAAGGACCCACTTGGAAAGCTGATAAATATTCTATTGAGATTCTCCTCTGGGATCTCCCCGAAGATCTCCACTCTTAAAACCTTTTAGAATGGAGAACCCAGTGTGCTCTCCCTCTTGGGAGCATGCCCATGCCTTTCCACACCCCCCGCCCCCCATTATCATTACCTTTACCTTCCTCACTCCCAACCTCCAAGGGCCCTTCCTTTGCTTCTGGAACTTGTTTCCTGAATCCTTTTCTTCTATTATCTATTTCTGATGCCTCTGTGATTTTCTAAGTAAAAGTTCTCTTAATGTTTGAGTTTTGGCTCTGAATTCTTTCCTAGTCAGAACTCAAGTACCAAGGTTTCTGAAATGAGGTCTGGTCTGACCCCACTGGTCTAACCCCTGATGCTGTTCTCACCGTCATAGTCAACAGCACCAGAAAACAAGAGATCTGTCTTAACGAGGAGAGGTCAGGAGGAACCTGTGAACTCACTGCAGCCTGCCCCACCCTCTCATTGGAGAATGGTGCCCTGACACTGCTGGGCAACTGTCCTGATCTGGCTCTAGGAACTTTGTATATCTGCCCTGGTTTGGTTCTGCCTCTCCTTTCCCATATATGTCATGACTCCTCTCTGTGCCTCAAGTCCCCTCACATGAGGCTGAGATCCTCTGCCCCCCACAGCTGTCAGTAGTAATAACGTTGCGGAGGCAGCAACAGTAGCAACAGAAGAGTTCATTGAGCACTTACTAGGAAGCGGACACTGGTAGGTGTCTAACATGGATTACCTCTTTACCCTCCTACAGTCCAGGGGCCAGGCTCCTACCCTCTCATTTTACAGATGGAGAGAAGATGCAGAGAGCAGTGAGGCGACTTGCCCAATGTGGTCGTGCCAGGAGTAGAACCTGCTTCTTGCCAACTCCCTACTGTGGTTATAGCACAAGACCAGGCAAGTGGCCACTTGGGAGGTGGGTGTGAAATGAACATTCTTTCTGCTGGTGCTTTCTGAGAGTTTCTCTGATTCTCTGCTAGTGCTTTCTGAGAGTTTCTCTGGCCCTTGGAGCTCTAGTCTCTCTGGCCTTCTGTGTGTTCCCTCCCAGGGGCCATGAGGACCCATGAGTTGCTGGGAATGCACTAGACATTCTTCTCCACAAGCCTTTTAGCTGAAGTCTAGTTTGAGCCTGGATCCCCCCTTTGACAGGGCAGTCCCCAGAAGAAGGTCTGATGGGGTTCAGTGGGTTGTGTGTGGGAAGGAGATCAACAGCAGGCAGAGGATATGTTGTCTACTCACCTGACTTCATAGCTGGCTCTTTCTGGGCTCGAGCACACAGCTCACTCAGGCCCATCTGCTCCCAGGACTGCAGGGCCAGGTCCCAGGCTTGTTGCTCCCCGTATTGAGCCACCAGGCATGAGGCCACCTCCTCTGGTTGCGCTGGGGTCGCCCCAGGAGAGTGCTGGCAGAGATCCTTATCAGGCAGCTGCAGCAGGAACTCCCTCAGCTGCTCCTTGCTCATACACTCTAACATCTGGGCCAGCCGCTGCTGGACTCCATGGGCCATCTCTGCTGCAATGGACGTGTCTGCTGCACTGGCCATGTTTGCTGCACTTGTTGTCTCAGTCCCAGCTCTGAGGGCCTCAGGGATGTTCACTGGAGAGGAGGGGGGTGGGGAGAGCATTAGGCAGGTAAAGAATAGCAGTCATTCTTGTCCCCTACCATATCCCAATACCAGACTCCCACTGGGGTCATTACTGCTTCCCTGGCAAATTCCTCTTCAGTACTATGAACCCATTTTTGAAATCCTCTTGGTTTCTTCCAATAAATGATGTTGGGAGAAGGGAGGTGAAGGGAAGAGGCAGGAAAAGTGATAAAATGAGGAGCCCAGAGAAGGCAGAGAGACATTTGCAGAAATCAGGTTACTGAGATGAGAGCTCAGAGCTGCTCCACCCAGGTCTCTTCAGAATGCTCCTGGCCCTAGGCAACCAAAGGGGAAGAATGGCCTCACCCAGCCAGAGCCTGGACAGAGGGTGTAGCCAGGGGAGGGGTGGGGCCAGGGCAGGCCTGCAGAGCTTGTACTACTTAGAGCCAGACATCCTCAGGTCACATCTACAGGCAGGCCATGGACATGAGTCCTGGTAGGGCAATGTGCTAGTGCATGAGCCAGGTCAGTAAGCCTGGACAAGTGGAATAGGGAAACTGAGCGGATATCTGAACAAACTGGCAGAGCAACTTACAGCAGACACAGAAGGTCACCTCCCTAGAGATAACACCTAGTTCTCAGTTGTGTTTCAGCTCCAGGCCCCCCAAAATAGCAAACTAGGTGGGTGACAGCAGGACCAGCTGCAATGACCCCCTGCCCTGGCACTGACCAGTCTGTAGAGACCAGGACCCTGAAAGAGCCCACCTATAAAACTGATAAATACTCTGCTAAAACCCTCCTAGAGGAGTCCCACCTGCAAGAGAGAAAAAACACTCTCAAGACAAAGGACCCATTATGTGCTCTCCCTCTGGGGAACACACCCATGTCTCTCCCTTCTCTCTCTTCTTCCCCCGCAGGCACACACCTCCTAAAGTCTAAGGGACCCCACAAGACTTGCAACCAGGAGAGTCATGGGCAGCAGCAGCTCATCCCAGGGTAACCCCCTGAACCTGTCTCCTTTTGTCACACTTCCCTGGGAGCTAAAGCAGCCCTGCCTTGGCTCATGTATTTCCAATAACATTTTTAGAAAACCAAAGCAGCCCAGCCTAGGTCTCTCTTGTTGCCTCTTCTATGCTAAGTCCTTCCTTGTTTTACTTTCCCCAGCTATAATAAACACACCCGCATAGTCACTTCGTCTTGTGTTGTCAAGAACACACATATTGGCCGTCCTTATGCCAGCCTGCTCAGGGCCAGGTCCCCTGTCCAATAACATCTGGTGCCCCAGAGGGGACCTTTTTTCCTGAGGCTACGAAGCCCAGCTGGCTCACTTGCTCTGCCTAGGATTGGTATAGAGTGGCAGGATTCCAGAGGAGCCCACCCAGAACTACCTTGCAGACTCACACCCATGCTAGGTATTAGCTGGGGCCCTCTGGGCCCCACATGCTCCTCATTTTGCATTGGGTGAGTTCCTTTGGAATTCTGGACCTACCCACCCCCACCCCTGACCCCTATTTTAAGGTAAGAGGCTCACTTTCTTTGATCTGTTTTTTAAAAATCCTTGTGGTAGAGCTAAAGGTTAAGGGTTGAGAGAACCAGGCTAAGGCAGGACAGGTGGACAAAAATGAATGGCTGCTTTTTAACTCCCAGCCTCAGCCCTCCTTAATACTTCTGCAGATATACAATAAACAGGAAGCCTTTATTTGCAAGTATTTATAGAAATGGGAAAAATGTAATTAGAAGTGATCAACTTTACAACACTAAAATGTAGCTCTTTTGATGCCTAAGTCAAATTTTGCATGCAAAATTAGGAAAAGCTGGCTCTAAAATTAAACAGAATGAATGGAAAGCTTACCTTAATTCCAATCTAGAAGCTCCTAGAAAAAGCATAGGTAAATCACACTCATAGTAGAAAAGCAGAAAAACCAGTCTTAAGTAGAGAGAAAACAATTGCATGCATTCATTGTGTTAATGGTGCCTGCAGGTAGTGTGTGGGTTCTTGATTTCATGTAGGAAATATTTCACAATATGAGTCCAGATGATTTTGAGAGTATGTTTACTGAAAGTGGGAACAGTGAAACAAAGAAAGGGCTGAATGTAGAAGTGTAACCGGACAATCAATGGGTCCGTGTTGCCTGTCACTACTTGAGCTAATTAAGCAGAGACCAGGTTGAATCATATGTGATTGTTTATTCCAATACTGCCCGCAGCATAGGAGAGTAGCAGGTCATCCACAAAAATCTGCTCTCCACCCCACCATAAGCCAGCTGCTTATATTAGGTAGAAGGACAAACATTACATAGGGAAGCAGACAAAAAGGGCAAATGGGCAGTTTACAGATATGCAAAAGAGCTGGGGTCTTCAAAGGGCTAGTGATATGCAAAGGCTGGGGGTCCTCAAAGGGCTGACAGCTCTGGTTTCTGGCTTTGGTTTCTGCTTTCCATGAGAATAGGCAGCTCCCTGATGGGGAGAATGGGCTGCATTTCCAGGTGAGTTCCCAGGTCCCACAGGCAACTGCCATCCAGGTTAGAATGTGCCTTCGTTAATCAGAATAAAACAATCACAGTTAACAGAACATGATTAATATTTCTTACAATTAGAGTTGGTCCCCAATATTCTATTTCTGCCCCTATCAGAAGAAGAAACAAAAGAGAGCCTAGGTGAGGCCGCGTTGGCTCACTGAGAAATAGAAGTCACAGTGGCAGAAGTGAGCTCACTGGAAAGTCAGAGAAAACGGGGCCTTGGAGGCAGGTTCAGGAAGTTAGCCCGAGATGAACTGCTGCTGCCCACTGCTTTCCTGGTTGCAAGTCTTGTGAGGTGCCTTAGTATTTAGGAGACAGAAAGCAGAGATATGAGCTGTGGGCGTGCTCCAGGAACAGCATGCCTTAGGTAGAGTATGCTTATAAAAGCTGGGGACAGTGAAATGAAGAAAGTCCTTAGGATAGAAGAAGCAACAGAAGAAAGTCAGAGAAATGGGGGCCCTGGAGACAAGATCAGGGGATAAGCCTGGGACGAGCTGCCACTGCCCACTGCTCTCCTGATTGCAAGTCTCATGAGGACCCTTAGAGAAAAAGAGCAGAGATGGAAGGTGCAGGCATGCTCTAGCAAGAGTGCACCATGGGTTCTTT